CGTGACTCTCCCTTCTCTGCTGCTCTGTCTTTCAGAGCCTGGCCAGACCACCCTGCACGAGAGAGGTCCTTGAGCCTTTTCATTCTCTCTGCAACCCCCCTCTCGCTGTGTAACTAACATCAATGTGCGCAACTCAAATGTCTCTGAAACTGAACAACAAAAACAACCACACAACAGAAAACATGAAGACAGGACCAGGGCTGCAGCTCCGTGGTCAAGTGCCTACCTAACATGTACCAGACAAACAGAAACCAAAGGAACAAAAGCACTGGACAAAATACTGCTGAAAAGAAGCAATGGCTTCATCCCACATGTGGGCCTGTCCTGTGCCGGGGATACGCTTCCTCAGCAACTAGAGCCATTCCCCTCAGCTGGTATCTGCCACTTGCTCCACAGCCACGCGTGGGCTGTGTCATCACCAAAGTGGCACTACCATCTCTAACCATCAAGTTCACCTACTCTATTTTTACAGTTATCCATTCAGCTTCATCAGAAACCTATTTATAGGCTGGAGAAATGGTTTGGGGGCTGCTCAGGGGGAAAGACCTTAGTTCAAACTCCCACAACCCACTTAGACAGATACAGTAGCTCCTGCCCATAATCTCAGAACTATGACAAGATACAAAGTAGAAACAAGACAATCCCCAGAAACCTGCAGGGTACATGTAGCAGTGAACAAGAGACCCTGTCCAAAGGACATGGAAAGCAAAGACCAATACCCAGGGTTGTTTCCTGACCTCTGCATGTCCCAAAATGCACACACACACAGATCATACATACACACAAAGACACAAAGGTACAAAGGTTCTTTTTTTAAAAAAAAAAATAATTTGTTTATTTATTATGTATACAATATTCTGTCTGTGTATGCCTGCAGGCCAGAAGAGGGCACCAGACCTCATTACAGATGGTTGTGAACCACCATGTGGTTGCTGGGAATTGAACTCAGGACCTTTGGAAGAGCAGGCAATGCTCTTAACCTCTGATCTCTCCAGCCCCAACACAAAGGTTCTTTTCTTTCTCTCTCTCCTTCTCTCTCTCTCTCTCTCTCTCTCTCTCTCTCTCTCTCTCGGTTTTCAAGACAAGGTTTCTGTGTAACAGCCCTGGCTGTCCTGGAACTCATTCTGTACACCAGGCTGGCCTCAAACTCACAGAGATCCACCTGCCTCTGCCTCCCAAGTGCTGGAATTAAATGGGATTAAAGAAATCTGCCACAATCGCCTGGCGCTCTCTCTCTCTCTCTCTCTCTCTCTAACATGCATTGATGTTTTGCTTACATGTATGTCTGTATGAGGAGCCAGATCCCCTGGAACTGGAGTTACAGACAGTTGTAAACTGCCATGTGGGTGCTGGGAATTGAACCCAAATCCTCTGGAAGAGCAGCCAGTGCTCTTAACCACTGAACCATCTCTCCAGCACCCACAAATGTTTTTATTTTTTTAAATCTATGTTTACAAGCAGGGTATAAGCATAAAAAAAAAATCAGGAGTTCAAAGTTATCCTCAGCTACTTATGAAGTTCAAGGCCAATCTAGGGATATGACCTTATCTTAGTGGGGAAGCTGAAAATCCAGAGGCAGTCATAGAAGGATCTCTGTGAGTTTGAGGCCAGTCTGGTCTACACAGTGAGTTCCAGTCAAGGTTCCATAGTAAAACCCTGTCTCAAAAATATAAAAAAAGGTCTACAGAGATGGCTCGTGACTGAGCACGGTCTGCTCTTCTAGAGAGCCTATGTTAGATTCCCAGTACCCACATGGCAGACCACAACCATCTGTAACTAGTTCCCAGACTCTTCTGGTGTGCACAGGCACCAGGTACACACATGGTATATATATACACACATAGGGAAAATATCATACATATTATATGGTCTACATGAGAGTTTCACACCAGCCAAGGTCTTATAAAGTATACCCTGTCTCAAAAGAGAGCATTAAACGAGGTCATGAGTTTGGGGTCTCCAGATAAGACTGTGGCTATGTAGTACAGGGAAGAGGTCAACAGTTTAGCTTTGTGGTAGAGGCTCAACAAGGGGCATGGGGATGGAAGAAACTGTTTCTACAATCCTGCTCTTCAATCTTAGACTTCCCAGCACTACCACTCAGCCCTTGGTTTTGTGAGACATGGTCTTGGAATATAACCTATGTTACCCTGAACTCCCAATTCTCCCCCCTCAGCTTCCCAAATACTGGGATTACAGGTGCACACAATGCCTAGAAAGAGATCTTTCCCTTCTTTCAGTGGTTTGGGATGAGGTGTTAGTTGTTAATGGGGGACAGGGTGCTTGTTGTTAATGGGGGACGAGGAGGTAGTTGTTAGTGGGCACAGGGTTAGTTGTTAACAGGGGACAGGGTGCTGGTTGTTAACGGGGGGCAGAGTGCTGGTTGTTAATTGGGGAATAGGGTGCTGGTTATTAATGGGGGGAATGGGGTGCTGGTTGTTAACGAGGGAATGAGGTGCTGGTTATTAATGGGGGAATGGAGGGCTGGTTGTTAACGAGGGAATGGGGTGCTGGTTGTTAACAGGGGAATGGGGTGCTGGTTGTTAACAGGGGACAGAGTTACTTGTTAATGGAGGACAGGGTGCTAGTTATCCCAGAACTTACTATGTAACTAGACTAGGCAGGCTCCCTAGTGCTGGGATTACAAACCCTGGTCCGGGACATCCAGCTAAATCTTTTCTTTATAGATGACAAAGTCTCAGCTATTCCTCCCTCTCTGTAGGACCACCCCGGCACAGGACCACCACCTAGCAACCCCTTCCGTGGCTCCACATCCCTCTTATCACTGATCCATTTCCTGGCTTGGAGATGTAGATCAGTAATCAAAACATTTCTTGGCTCCCTTCCTTCCCATAGCACAATTCCAAATAATTGCCCATTCTTTTTCCCTTACCCATTTTAACCGACTTCTGCCTCCATCTCTCCTCTGGAAGGGCCTTTATCTGGGTCCCTTGTGTTCTCTGTGGTCACCCCCTAAAGACTCCTAACTCCTCTCAGCACCATTTATCATGACTCCTCGGCTTCTGTGTATTAGACGCCACTTCTCTCGGGGTTGGAGAGAAGTCTCAGGAGTTAAGAGCGGGTAGGTGGCTGGGCAGTGGTTGTGTACCCCTTTAATCCCAGCACTTGGGAGGCAGAGACAGGAGGATCTCTGTGAGTTCGCGGTCAGCCTGGTCTACAGAATGAGTCCCAGGGCAGTCAGAGCTACACAGAGAAACCCTGTCTCAAAAAACAAAACAAAACAAAAAGAACAGGTAGGTACCGCTCTTCCAGGGAACCTAAGTTAAGTTCCTTTTTATTCTTTTCGGGGAGGGGAAGGGTTGGTTGTTGTTGGATTTGTTTTTGGAGACAGGGTGTCACTTAGTAGCCCTAGCTGTCCTGGAACTCACTATGTAGACCAGGTTGGCCCCAAACTCCTGAGTACTGGACAGAAGTCTGAGATGACCATTACTCCAGCTGCAGGGATCCAATGCCCTTTTTTCACCTCCAAGGGTAATGAACACACGTTATACATACACATACACATACAAATCTAAAAATAAATCTTTAAAAAGATCCTGCCTCAAAAGACACACACACACCTTCAACTGCACTCTTGCTCAGCCGGTCCACTCATTATCATTTTGAAACTTTCAAACAGACTCCAAAAGGCCTTCCCCCAAGATCCCTTACACGGCTGCCAGTCACCTCTCCACCCCTAACCCCCTTTCCCCCGACACCTGCATTCCTTCTGTTCTGTGAACACATGGAGCTTTCCCAGCTGAGGGTCTTTGTTTTACTGCTGCCTCTTCCTGCAAGCTTTTTCACATCATGTAGCTGTTATCGTCAGGCCTCAGCGGAGTCTCCTTTTCAACTGCCCCTCCCTGACCAGGACTTCTAAAGTACTAGCTTCTGCAAGGCTGCTTTTGTTTTATGACTTGAGACAGGGTCTTACTATGTGGCCCCCTGGCTAGCCTGGAACTCACTCTGTAGACCAGGCTGGCCTCACACTCACAAGAGACTCGTCAGACTCTGCCTCCTGAGTGCTGGAATTAAAGGAGTGTTCCCTGACATCCCACTTCTGCAGGGTTTTTGCTGTCTTCTGCAGTGTTGGGAACTGAACCAAAGGTCTCTTGGATACTAGGTAAATACGAAGGCACAGAGCTACTCCCCTAGGCTGAAGCAGTGTGTCCTAGTCACCCTCTCCTGCCTGTCTCTTACCTTCAAAGCAGTTATTTTTTTCCTGCTTCCTTAAAGAGACGAGGCCTTGTGCAAATGCAGCGCTACATCCCTGCAACCTAGCCTCGTGCTAACGCAGCACCACATCCCTGCAACCTCAGCCTCATGCAAACACAGCAGCGCTACATCCCTGCAACCTCAGCCTCATGCAAACGCAGCAGTGCTACATCCCTGCAACCTCAGCACTTACAGGTGAAGCCAGCAGATCAGGGATTCAAGGCCATCCTAGGCTATATGGCTACTTTGAGGCCAGCCTTCTCTACGTTAACATTAAGATCTTTTCTCAAAGTCTTCATCTGTCACTTACTTCTGTAAGAGCCAGCCCAAACACAGTGGCCTAGGTCTTGCCAGTGCAGTTGAGGATGACCTCGAATTCATCCTCCTGCCTCCACCTCCAGAGGGCTGAGATTACAAGAGTAAGCCAACACACCCAGTTTATGCAGTGAAGGGGCTTGAACATGGGCTTCGTGTGTGATGCTAGGAAAGCACCTACCAACTGAGCCACCTCCCGAGCAGGTGGTTAACCATTTGATAACCACCTAGACACACACTGTCACAGACATCATTACTTGACCAGAGAAAACACAGACTCCTGACTAAACGGGCTGACTTCTCTCTAAATGACTTCAAATTTCAAGCCAGAAAATAACACATGGGGACATCCGTGGTGGAGGAAAGTCCTGTCTGCGAACAGGTCACCTGTGAACACACTGTCTTCATTTGCAGGAAGGGCTCTAGTGTAGAGGGCTGGCAAAGGGGCGAAGGCAGGCCCTCCCCCTTACCATTTCTGCATATTCCACCGGCTCTCCTTCGCTGTACAGTTCCGGGGGCAGGTTGTAAATCCGTAGGACATTATCAGCACTATTGGTCAAGATACAGGAACCATCAGGAGCCCTAAAAACATGGGAGAATTAGAAAACTGAGCAGACCTGATTTCCAAGTGTAGGGCTAGGGCTACCTGAGTACATATGCCCTTGAGAAAACCCCAGTCAACAGCTCATGCGGAGGGTGGTGGCACACGTCTATAACCCCAGCTACTTGAGAGGCTGAGGCTGAGGAGCTCAAGAGGCAGGCCAGTTCATGCAACTTGGTAAGGCCCTATCTCAAAATAAAGCAAATAATAATGGCGATGATGATGATAAGACTAGGAGGTAGCTTAGTGGTGAGGTCCAGGCTCGCATGTTGGACACACTAGGCTAAATCCACAGTCCCAGAAATGGAAATAAAGATCAACAGGGCAAAGGAAGGAAAAAAAAAAAACCCTAGTCTCGGTATTTGCCAGTATTCTATTACTCCTTAAGCACCCCTAGATAAGTCTGTGGTTTGTCTGGGTTTTAGTGTTTTGTTGTGTTTTTCTGAGACAGGGTTTCTCTGGGTAGCCCTGGCTGTCCCGCACTCCCACTGTAGACCAGACTGGCCTTGAACTCGGAGATCCTCCTGCCTCTGCCTCCTGAGTGCACCACCACCACCCACCCTTGTTTTTGTTTTTACTTTAAGACAGGGTCTCACTCTATGGACAAGGCAGGCCTCGAATTTCCAGTCCTTCCTCTTTTTTCCCAGATGTTGAGATTACAGGATTGTCCCACCACGACGGGCCAAGTAAGGGTGGGTTTTAAAATGTAAATCCCGAAGGTGGCCATATCCCCACCCCGTTGTACTTACCACTTACAACCTTTCAGGAAGTTCTCCGAGCGGGTACTGAACTCGGACCAGGAACCACTGAGGTATCGGGGTACCTGTGAGAAGTTGTAGCTCCAAAAGCTGGAAAGGACATGGAGAAACAAACGGGTCGTCAGAGAAAAATGGGTCTGGAATGGAGCTGAGGACTGGTGGCTGCCGTTTCCACAAGTCCAACATCAATTCCTGAGTCACTTACGTGTCCCCCTCGTCCACTGGATCGGGTTCTTCAGACACACCTTCCACGGCTTCTCCTGACTCTAAGGCAGGCTGATTCGTTTCTTCTACAGGACGGCTCACATTTTCAGAAAGTTCTTGCTCCTCGATTCGAGGACTCAACTCACCGGGAGTACTAAACTCTACTTCCGAGGGAGCGGAGGAGAGAGGAACTGAGTTCCCTTGTTGTGGTTCCGGGCACACGACCGAGTCAGCCACAGAATCTGTGGCTATCTGGCATTGCTCATCTCCACTGCAAGGCGGTGGTAACAGTTCGGAGTCTGTATTTTTATCCACAGGGGAACCTTGGGGCACCAGAGCTGGAGCCTGGTCAGAAGGGATGCTGCTGTCCGGAGCTGATGATAGTCGCTCCTCCGATGTCTTCATTCTGTAGAGCAAGCGGGGAGGACAGGGGCCGGGCAAGCCGTGTTTGCACCGGCTATCAGCTGCTGAAACCAGATGGCATTAAAGTTCCCAGGGATCCGGACGCAGGACGGCACAGACCCACCGCGCCTGCCTCCCTCTTCGGGGAAGAGTTAGCCGAACCCCAAAACCGAGGGCAAATACCGGGAAACCAATGCAGAAAGCAAAGCACCTGGTGTCGCTACGCGCCGCTAATGCTTCTTGCTCTCGCGGGACTCGGGTCACCTTCCGATTGGCTCTCTGCATCCCGATTAGATTCTGAGAGGCGAGGCGGGAAGGCACGAGTTTGCCCAACCCTCAAGCGCTAGACTATTCCTAGAGGCTTCTGGGAGTTGTAGTCTACACTCTCGGTCTCGGCGAAAAGTACACGAGCTCCCCCTACCGTCCGCTGGGGTAATTCTTAAGGTACCTACCCTCCCTAACCTGCAGAGGGTGCTTAGTTTCTACATTTTTTTGCCCCTCTTGAATCTCTTGTCGAGTCAAGCAACCTCAAAATAAGATTTCCATTCTCTCTCTCTCTCTCTCTCTCTCTCTCTCTCTCCATCCCCTCTACCTCCCTTCCACCTCCCTCCCTTCTTAGTTTGCAAGTTCTCTATCCCCATAAAATTTTTGTTGCTATGCAATTGAAGGCTGTGAAAACAACGTTTACAGATAGTGATATGGACTGTACAGGAAATTAAACAAGATGGTGTGATATGAAGTATCTTGGAGAACACATTAGATTGAGATATTAAGAAAAGCCTTTCTAAAGCGACATTTTAGCTGATGAGAAAAAAAACAAAAACAAAACAAGAAACTTAGCTGCCCGTGTTGGCTCATTCCTGTACTTAGGAGACTAAAGAAGTTGGATTACCGGGAGTTCGAGTCCAGCCTTAGATAAAAAGACCTCGTTTCAAAAAGCCAGAAAGATGACTACAACTATCCAGCTAGATCGAAAAGAGCAGTGTTCGGCGCTCTTCCGAAACGATTTCCACCAATTTTGTCCTCACTCTGTCGTAGAGTATTTTTCACAAAGCGTTCGCATGGATAGCAACAATGCAGGGAGAATCCGGACTCTGCAACAGCCTCCAGCCACCCCCGCCCCCCATTTCCTGCCCTCAACACACAGAATAACTTGCCCTTACTTGTCATGGCGGCTATCCAGCTTTATGCCAGCAGTCTCGCGGGGGTTGCTGGGATAGGGACTTTCCCCTCCCATGTGGCCAGACCAAAAAGTTTTGTGCTAGTCCACTGCCACAGTTCTGGCTGCAGGTAGCTTTTGGGACCAGGGGGCACCTAGCATCCGAGTCCGGAATCTACTTTCCAGCAGGGTGACACGCTTCCCTGAAGACCCGGTAAGTTATTGTCTGAGCCTGATGAGTTCTCTCTGAGTCACCGGCTCTTGGTTCGCGTAATTTGAGACTAGAGAGAGAGTAGTGGAGTTTGGGGGTGGGAAAGTAGGGGGACTCAGCGAGGTGGGGGGAATGGAAGCTTGGCTGGCGGGAAGAACAGCAATGTAGTGTTGGATGTGATGAAGATGATGGGGGTGCTAGGACCAACCAACCAGCCAAAGACCTGAAAAGTAGATCCGGGATTTGGGGACCGCTGAGACGGCCTAAGGGGTTTTCTGTCTGCCACCCTATATACACACTTATCTACTCACTGCTGGATGGTAGAAACCCCAAAAATAACATGCACACAGCACTGTGATCCGAGATTTTTCGAGACTCATAGTTTAAGACTTTAGAGCCCATAGCATCCTAATGAAACTTCGGGCTCCATTCGTTAATTAAATCGGGGTGATCCGGGAAGCTCTAGCTGCTAAGGTCCCGCAACTTCCGGACCTTTGTCCGTGGAGTGATTTTTTTTTTTTCCAGCAGCACCCCAACTCTGCCTGTCGAAGAAAATCCAAAGAAAAACTGTTAGTATTGCTAGTGCAAAGTGTTTGCCCTCGGGGCCCGACCAAACCCTCTCGGTCTGAAAGGCCCGCCGACCCTGTTATTGTTTGGCTCCACATTTGCATTTCTGCCGCTTTTTGGAGCATTTCCGGTTTCTTTTTTTTTTTTTCCGGAGCAGCTCACTGCTCACTCAACGAGAGGGGAGAGAGGGGGGAAAATGTATTCTAGGCTGGTGCTTGAGGGAAACTGCCATCCTCGATCCATCGCGGTTTTTTTGGATTAATCGGTTATTAATTTTTGCAAAAGACGAGGTGTTTATTTAAAAGAGTGCGAGGATAGGTCGTTTGTTCGTGCCGGAAAAACGAATTACCGAGTATCCGGTTTCGGGGTGAGCCATTCCCTTGCCGAACGCATTCCTTACGTCCTGAAAGCGGAAGAGGCTGGACTTGGCCAGGGGCGCCTGGGGATCCTAAGAGCAGTCGACCAGAACAGGACTCGGCTAGGATAAGCGAATCCCTGGTTCTGCGTTTTTGGAGCAGTTTCTAGTCGCGCACCAGACATTGTGGGTGTCTTTTTTCTTTTTCCTTTTTATTTATTTATTTATTTTAGGTAGAAGTAGTATTTCCACACAGCACTTGGGAAAGGACTAAAATAAGTGAACGATTGAAAGACCGGAAGAAAAGGGATTTTTTTTTTCTAAATTTTTTTTTTCCTTTATCTTTGTGTGTGTGTGTGAGTCTTCAGTGAAGGGAACCCAAGTCTGTGAATACTAGGCCGGACAATCCCAGTGGCCCAAGGTTTGTTATGCAGATGGCCTCTCAGCCCTTGTAATCTCTTGAATGGACTCTCCTCTGAAAGTGAAAAGATCTCAATCCACAGCAAAAAAGTGACCCTGAGCCCCTCCCTTACAAATGTAGATTTACATGTAAATTTTGTTTACTTTTTTTTTTTTTACAGAGGTCTTCAGTTTCCTAGAATAATTTAGTGCAAGGTGGTAGTATATTGCCTATAATTCATGCTTAAATCTTCAGACGTTTATTTATGACCATGTAATAGAAATGCTATTCAAGTAAATATTAGTAGTATTGGAGCCAGGCTAGACAGGGTGCTGCTAGCCAGCCTTTCCCAGCGGTAGAAAGGCAGAGTCTGACAGGTATCTGAGTTCGGGACCAGCCTGGTCTCTATAGTGAGATCCCAGACAGCCGAGGCTATGCAGTGAGACGCTATCTCGAAAAGAAAAGGGAGCTGAATGTGTTAATATTTAGCAGAGGCACGGGACTTGGTTACATGGCAGCAGCCTTAGCCCCACGAGGAAGCCGGAAGTAGGATCTCAAGTTCCAGACCAGAGTCTGATACTACAGCAGTTCAAGATCAGCCCATGCAATCCAGTGAGACCCTGTCTTTAAAAAACAAAACACTTGTGAGGTAGAGAGGGGAGGAACTGAAGTTCAAGGTTATTCTTGCTCTATAGCTCTAGACCAATTTGGGATGAGTTAGACAGTGTCTCAAAAAAAAAAAAGTTTGAATCCTAGAGAGTTGGATCAGAAGTTGAGAGCACTGGTTGCTCTTCCAGAGGTGCTGGGTTCAATTCCCAGCACCCACATAGCAGCTCACAACTGTCTGTAACTCCAATTCCAGTGGCTCCAAGGCCCTCACACAGACAGACAGACATGCAGGTAAAACACCAATGTACCTAAAATGAATAAGTTAATTTTTTTTTATTTATTATGTATACAACATTCCTTCTATGTATGCTTGCATGCCGGAAGAGGGCACCAGATCTCATTACAGATGGCTGTGAGCCACCATGTAGTTGCTGGGAATTGAACTCAGGACCTTTGGAAGAACAGTCAGTGCTCTTAACCTCTGAGCCACCTCTCCAGCCCCAATTTTTTTTTTTAAAGTGCAAAAATTAACATGTTATCAAATCAGACCTTGGCCACATTTACACTGAAAAGGATCAATGCAGGCATGTGTGATGTCACACGCCTGTAGTGCCAGAACTCCCAGGATGCTGAGGCCAGGACAGTTAGTTACAAGGGAAACCTAAAACACACACACACACACCCAAAAAGGGGGGGGGGAACCATCCTGGGCTATATGGCAAGACCTTGTCTCAGATAAACCAAACAACTGGAGATGTATGTGGTAGAGTATTTCACCTAGCATACCCAGAACCACAGAACACAGGATGAGTCCATCTTGACCAAATGTGATTTGTCCACGGGTATCAGACAGTAAACTTTGTAATTCATATTAAAGTCCTGTGGATGCATCAACAAAAGAGAAACGTGGCTAACTACGCCTTGTCCTTTTCCCTTCCTCTATTTCTGTTATATTCGTGGTGTGGACCTATCCTTGCAGCAAGCCGAGTGCCTAGAATCCCACGCTCTGGCGGTTGAGGCGTCCAGGAATGAATCTAAGGCAGCCTGCAGCACATTGTGGGGCTGGCTCAAGACAGGGGCAAGGAATAAATTCCAAAAGTCGGCTATTCCAAGTTGCTAAAGTGATGACTCACTAGGGAAAGTCACCTTAGAAGGGACAAAAGTAACTTTGACTTGTTACTATTAGCTTGGTGCCATTCCAGACCTAAATGTTAAACTGAGAAACTTTTAGGAGGGAAGGTTAGTAACATCTTTACATTTTGTTACTTTGGTTTTGGTGTGTTGTTTTGTTGCTTATTTTTTGTCTTTGGCTGATAGAATGAACCAAGTGCCTTTTGTCTTGGTGCTGGAGAGTGTTATGGAGCTATCTGAAAGTTTGCCAAAGCCAGGTGGCAGGCGGATCTCTGTGAGTTTGAGTACAGACTGGTCTATAAGAGCTAGTTCCAGAACAGTCTTCAAAGCTATAGAGAAACCCTGTCATGAAGAAGAAAAAAAAAGAAAAGAGAAGAAAATTTGGGGACTGGAGAGATGGCTCAGTGGTTCAGAGCACTGATTGTTCTTCCAGAGGACCCTGGTTCAATAACCAGGACACACATGGCAGCTCATACCTGTTTGTAACTCTAGTTCCAGGGGATCTAATACCCTCACACCGATGCACATAAAATAAAGTTAAATAAAGTATTAAAAGAAAAAAAAAGAAAATTTGCCAAACAGTTAACATTTTCTCTTGTTTCCACATTTTAGTTACATAAACAACGGCTGGACTCTCTCTCCCTCACCCTCCAGTTTAATAAAGCTAAAGCCTTCTCTGGTGGTCAGCCATAGTCCCATGAACTCTGTTCCTGAGACTTTCACGGGTTCTGTGAATTTTTGCTCATACTTGTTTATAAAAAATAAGTAGTCTTGCTGGACCATGTACACAACTTTAGTCCCAGCACTTGGAAGGCAGAGGCAGGTGGATCTCTGTGAGTCCCGGTCCAACCTGATGGACAAAGCAAGTTCTAGGACAGCCAGGGCTCACAGAGGGATTCTGTCTTGAAAACCCCAAAAGAAAGAGAAAAAAAAAAAAGAGTTCTAAACTTAGGGAACTACAGGAGAAGAATTGCCCTGTAGCCAGGCTACAAAAACTGTCTCAAAATAGAAAATAAATGTAAATTAAAAATGGTGGTTTGCTTTTATTATATGTTGCTGGGGTGGGTGTATGTGTGTGCAGGAACATGAGTTTTTGGGTAATCATGTTTGGTA